TACGCAAAACAATATGATGTTTGTTATTATTACAATTTTATATAGCCCACGTTTTTATAAACTTTTTTTTTTTTTTACCGCTTAGGCAATAAAGTTGACAATAACGTATATCTTCAACATAGCCTACGTTGTCTATGACCAAAAATGTAAGTTATTCAGTGGACTTTTAAAATTTGCTTTGCTTGAGAAAATAAAAATATACAGTTAGTGTTTTTTGTTCTTTTGATTTAGTCAAGTTGCTTTTGCATCAAACACAATGTAATTTTCAGCAATCGAGATCTGACAGCAACAGCACATTTTTCAGCTTGGGCGAGCGCTTCGTGAACAGCTTACCTCGCGCATTAAATCTGCCACAGACCAGCAAATCACTGAGAATGCGCTATAATCCTGACGAGTCATAGCAACAGAGCGAAGACAAGAAATCTGCGGAGAATCCGCTCACCCGGAAGCAACCATAACTGACGTAGATTTACAGAAAATTACTGCCGTTTGGCAAAAAAATCATTTTACGTACTTATTTCTAACTCTTTAATCTTTAAGTTACATTTCAAATGTCAAGGGATAAACTTATAATCATGTTTATATGAATTATCCTGTGAACTTATTAACTCTCAAATGGCCTGGGTATGCGGAGCATTCGCAGCTTATATGGACGGAAAGCCACTGATATATATAATTGGTAACCATGTATGAATGCTTATGTCATTTTAACTGAACATAGGACTGGTGGTGATGCTTAAGATACTGTTGGCCATTCAGGGTTTCTTAAAAAAAAAAAAAAAGATAATAGTAATAGATAGGGATGTAACGAAGACAAATTATAAACAAAATGTGTCCTTTTATTATTGCTTGAACAAAATGCTGCACGTTTCTTTGTGAAATTGAAATATTACACTATAATAATAATAATATAGCACTTGCATATTATTATTGCTCTTTTGTTGGTTTTGATTGCTTCAATTGTCCTGATTTGTAAGTTGCTTTGGATAAAAGCGTCTGCTAAATAACAAAATGTAAATATAATGTAAATGTAAATAACAAAACTACATTGAAATTTTAAAACAAACCCCAAATCAAATAAATAAGTAACACAAATAAAAGAAATCTCTTCATATAAACAAAATAAGGCTTTGTCTGTGCTCTTTCCATTTATAATTAGAGGCAACCACTGCATTTTAATCATGATCCAAACAAAGATGCTACATACATGCAACATGAGCAGTTTTTAATATAAATTAGATTGTATAATTTCGAAATTTGAAGCAAAAACAGAATGGTCTGACTTCAGTTTTGTGAAACTATACATAAAAAATATCTGCATGAAACAACAGAGCTGAATGAGACGCAGATTCACTCTCTGCCAGCAGGTGGCGCTTAAAGCATTTCCTTGGTTTCGCCTGTAAACAAAGCAGCGCTGCACTTATGAACTTTAATATGCATTATACAGAGGCAAGATGAAAAGAAAAATACCATCTAAACTTTTCTAAAGACAGTAAGTTCCCCTCAGACATACATTCATATAAACTCCTACACCTAAATGAATCGCGATTTGTTTAGCATCTCAACCGATTTGAATCGCTCGCGGTTAATCGTTACATCCCTAGTAATAGATAATAGTAATTATTATTAAAAGATACTACTACTAGTTCTACTACTGTACTAACAATATACAACACACTAGGATTGATGAGCTGCTGGGTTCATGAATATTAATCACGTTGTCAACGTTCCCTCGAAATGATTTGCTGAAATCAAAACAGGGATGGTAATAGATGAGCGCCAGCCAATTTGATTGCAGTTTGCGCATTAGCTCTGCCCACTACCGGAGAAATCGGCATATCTTCTGCTTGTTTTTAAAAGCTGAATAATTCCAAATGAACTCCGTTATTTTGACAGGAAAATACAACAAAGAATACGGTTTACATGTAGCGCGTCGATTCAGCATCGAGAGTAAGACTCTCGCTCTATTTGTATGTGTGAGAAACAGCGCCCTCAGCAAAGCGACGGCGAGTCGTGCTCCTTCACACTAGAGTTTACGGTTCCATTCAGATGAACTGAAAAAGTACAGATCGCTTGATAGAGAGCGAAACTCTGAAGTGCTCAGTCAGTGTTCAGCGTGTGAAAATATATATGTACTAAACTTATAATAACCTCGAACTCACACACTGGCGAGTAAAATCTAAGAATTTATTAGCCAATGGCTAACGATAGATATCATTTAGTCGCCCAGAGTAAAATTTAGTCGCATATGCGAGTGATTTACTCGCAATGTCGAGGGTTGGATTCATGAGACATCAAATTGAAGATTATCTGTTAGATAGACCCAAAACGAATTTTATTTCATGTTTAACCACTGCAGAGACATCAGAGCCAGCGGCAAATGTCAGAAGGACAAGCCGAGGTGAGGCGCTCTCAGTGGGAAACATGAGCACTGAGCGCCCGCTGATTGCCTGGAGCTCACATCTCCAAAATCGCCAAAGCAAAAAAAAATTTCAAATAGGCCCTATCTTTAGAAATAAACCGCATATTTGAGTTTTAAACAACTACATTCTCACCTGAAATACTCTTAAAAATACATTTCATGGCACAATAACAGTAATATTTTGAAAATTACGTGGGTTTTCTTCTCTGCCATTAATGCTCGCTGGTTGGTGTGAAATGCATTCTGGGATACCTGGCTGTCACAAGTTTGCACAAGTCATCTCTTGATGTATCCTTGATAAAAGGGGCAGAGCAAGAACACATCTGCTGCAGTTTTAGATTTAGTTTGTTGTAATAGAAACAATCTTTAGAGCTGTTGAATAATATAGATGGAGCAGCAAATAATAAGGGACACTTTTTTTCAACAAAATGTATGTTAGATAATAGTGTAGTTGATCAAACATATTTAATAGTTCTCCTTATAGAAACATGGGGATTGTGTCCATTATGTTTTTAAAATGATATTTTGAAGATCAATGTACCTCATTCATGAAAAGTTTAAGGAAAGTATAATTTATAACATTTATAAAATACAACATTTTGTATAGAAATTGTCTTTACACTATTACACCAGGGTTGACTTTTATGTACTTTCACATTTATCTGTTTTTTTTCTTCTTTTTTTTTCAAGTTACTGACAAATAAACTTTTTGCTTTTATTTTAGATTTTATTGAAGAAAGTGAGGAGAACGAAGAATTGAGTAAAGATGAGGAGAAACATCAAGTCAAAACTGGAGAAAAACCTTCGAGTTGCTCTCAACCCAAACAGAATGATTTAAAGAAAAGAGGGGCCAAGAAATCTTTTACATGCACTCAGTGTGGAAAGAGTTTGACAAGCAAATATGGTCTTGATGTTCACATGAGAATTCACACTGGAGAGAAACCATTCACTTGTGATCAGTGTGGGAAGAGTTTCACACAATCGTTAAGTCTTAAGGTACACATGAACATCCACACTGGAGAGAAACCATACAAGTGTTCACATTGTGACAAGAGATTCAGTCGGTCAGGACACCTGAAGAAACACAAGGTAGTCCACACTAGAGAGAAACCACACACGTGTGATCAGTGCGGGAATAGTTTCTCACAAAAAACAAGCCTTATGATACATATGAGAATTCATACAGGAGAGAAACCGTTCACATGTAATCAATGTGGAAAGAGTTTTGCATACTTAGCAAACCTTAAGGTACACATGAACATCCACACTGGAGAGAAACCTTATAAGTGTTCACACTGTGACAAGAGATTCAGTCAGTCAACACATCTGAAAACACACCAGAGAATCCACACTGGAGAGAGACCATACACATGTGATCAGTGCGGGAAGAATTTTGCACGGAAAGGAATCCTTATGACACATATGAAAGTTCATACAGGAGAGAAACTGTACACATGTAATCAATGTGGAAAGAGTTTGAAATGCAAATATAGTCTTGAGCTTCACATGAGAGTTCATACTGGAGAGAAACCGTACACTTGTGATCAGTGCGGGAATAGATTCACACAATCATCATGCCTTAAGAAACACATGAGCATCCACACTGGAGAGAAACTGTACTCATGTGATCAATGCGATAAAACATTTTTGAGGGCTTCAGTCCTAAAGAAACACTTGAGAGTTCATACAAAGGAGAAGCCACATTCATGTTATTTGTGTGGAAAGAGTTTTTCATTTCTACAAAATTTAAAAGTGCATCAGAAAATACATACTGGTGTTAGAGA